GGGCGTTTTGGGGTCCCCCCCCCCCCCCCCCCGTCTGGTGAGTGGATGTGCTCCTTCCACCTGGGGCTTGCTGGGAGGGTGCGGAGCTGAAGGCTGGCGGAGCAGTGGCAGCATGTGCCTGAAGTGACATTGGTGGCCTCCAGGTGCCTGGCAGCCCTCGGCCTGAGGAGGGGAGAGGTAATTCCAAACTGTATGATGGCGATGACAGTCGGAGTCCCCGCTGCCCAAGGCACGGCACCTAGCCAGTTATTTCTGCCGGCGTGCCCTGTGGAGGCTGAGTTGGGGGGATTCCCCCTTGCCATGGGAGTGGTGTCCGTGGTCCCAGAGAACTGCGGATGCTGGTGATGCTCCAACCTCTGCATGTACACGACAGCATCGGCACTGCCAGTTGGAGCCACGTGCCTGTTCCTGCGTGATCCCTGTTGGTTCTCATCCCATTCCAGGTCCTGCCTCTGATCTTGGGAAGAGGGAGGCTCTCCAGCATGGAGCCAGGCTCACAGGACTCATGAGTCCAAGCTGTGAGGGGCAGAGCAGGAGAGCCCAGTGTCTGCTCAGGAGTCCCCGCCTGCGTCCTGCTGAGCAAATGTTGCTCTTGCATTGAGGTGGTGGATGACGCCTGAGATGCTGCTGCCAGGAGGCTGCCGTTTTTGCTGTTAGGACTAACTGGGCCCTGGAGGAGGCAGCTCCCACTGTGAGTTTTGCTTTCTCCTTAGCTTAAACCTCGTCTGTGGGCTGCCTGTGTGGCAGGGCTGTGAGTCACAGCTGGAGGCTGCAGCAGGGAAGGAGGTGGGAAGGCTCCCTTGGCCAGTGCTGCGATCGGGGCGAGCCATGACAGTGCTGGCTTGCTCCCCTGCTCTCCAGCTACCACCCGAGGCCAGAGCAGCATCTCTGCCTTGGGCTTGGGCTGCTGCCCGTGGCAGGGCAAGGGCACTGGGGGGGGACCTTTTGTTTCTCCCCTTCCACTGCTCGTTGGCAGTCTCTTCTGCATCCTGCGTGATGCCCCAGGCCTTTGTGCTCCCCCTGGTAGCTGCCTGAGGCCAGGGCACAGGCAGGCAGGACAGACAGCAGCACCTCTGGGACAGGGGGACAGCCGTGTCCCCATCCTGGCTTGCCTCACTCTTAATGCCACGTGTGAACCACAGCTCCTCTAGTAAAGCCTGACCCCAGTTCATGGTGCACAGAAGCTGGTGGCTTGTGGGATTTGGCAACATGGAGCAGCGCTGTCCCTTCCCCTGCCTGGACAGTGTTGCGTCCTCCTGGGAAGTGCTGCAGGCGAGCTGAGCACTGCTCTTGGGATGCTGCTGCTCCCTGTGGTGATGGCCTCAGCTCAGCTCGGCCACGTGTGAGTCCTATATGGGAGCAGCCGGGCTCAGTGTCTGCAGGACTTGAGCTTGTGTGGCTGTGGGATGGAAAGCTCAGGAGCAGGGACCTGACTGTCAGCTGGTAGAGGCTGAGGCTGGAGGAGCCTATGGTAATCTCAGCCTCCTCAGGGGTACCCAGCCAGCCTGGCCCGGGGGAGAGCCCTGCTCCCCCAGCAAACACCAGCACTCAGGCCTTCACTGCGCTATCCTGCCTGGCTGCTGGCAAAGCTCAGCAGAGGAGCAGGGTGCCTCTGCCCGCGCCTGGCTGGGGTAGCAAGGAGTGATGGGGAGCGAGGTCAGGAGGATGCCTGGTGTGGGGCAGCTCCAGGGGCAGCTGCCTGACCCCCAGCAGTCTCTGTGATCTCTTTTTCTCTTACTGTGAGCTGCTCTTGCTGCTTTATCTCCTGTCCCTGAGCCATGGCCTCCCCCCAAAGCAGCACCAGCTGTGGTTGAGGAGCTGAGCCCTTCCTCCTCCATCCTGCGCTGGCATTCCTGCTGTCCTGACATGATAAATGGATGTTCTGGGTTTTTAATAGTTGGTATTATTGGAGTGCTTTTGCCTGGTGGTGCTGGCCAGGGAGGGCTGGGTCCGGTTACCGGGGGTTCCTCCTGCAACCCCCCCCTCTGGCTGCCTCCACCCCCAGAAGAAACCCCCAGCAGCTGTCCGCGCGCTCTTGGTGAGCAAGGCTTTCCTCACCTTAAAGGTTCAAGTTTTAAAGTAAATGGGGCTCTGCTGGGTGGGGGAAATGAAGCAGAAACCTGGCATAACCCTTGGGAAGCCATTGGCTTCAGGACCCTGCGTGGCTGTGCTGTACCCTTGCCCAGCTCCGCTCGTGGCCTCTGCAGCCCCTGGCATGGTGCAGCCCACCGTGCCCCTCTCCCCAGGGGTTTTCCATGCCTGGATTCAGCCCCGCACAGTCCCTGAGGCCGTGCCCTGGGATGCAGCACCCCAGCACTATGCACTGCACCTTCAGCAGGGGCCAGTGATGCCCACACACAGCCTGACCCCTCCAAAAGAAGCCCCCAGCTCCTTTGTTTCTCTCCCTGATCCCCAAAACATGTCATTTTGCAGGAAGTCGGGGTCTTTTAACTGGTTCCCAGAGGAGGTAAGTGACAGGTTCCCAGCTGCTGTCACTGTTCTTTGGGGGACCAGCAGTTGTGCCCAGAACCGGTGGTGCCATCGGGTGCCACAGTGTCCTCGTGGAGTGCAGCGTCCTTTGGAGATGCTCTCCCCAAGGGCTGGCACCAGTGGGCAGAGTCAGCTGCAGCTCAGCAGCATGGGGGGCTGGCATCATCACTGGCTGCTCCCGGCCACCATCCCTGTGGGGTGGCCACTAGCCACCTTGTATCACCCGTGCGCCCCTTGGAACCACTTGGCCCATGTCCAGCTCAGCCAGGCCACCCCCGTGGGATGTTTTTGGGGTGCTGCTGTGGCTGGTGCCAGCCCTCCCTGCGGTGCCATGCTGGCGCAGGAGGCAGCTGCGTCCCCCTCCCCTGCGCGGTGTCTGCGCGTCCCCGGCCCGCGGGGGACAGGGAAGAGTGGCGTGTCCTTTGAACGGGCTCCAGCAGTGACAGGTGCTGGGAAAGGCGAAGCGGGATGGCTCCTGCCGCTGTAAAGGATCCTCCTCTGCCTGCACTAATCCGGCTCCGTTACACCCGGGATAGAAGAGGCTGCTCCCTCCGGGCGCTGCCACAGTGCAGATGCTGCCCTCCTGACCGCCCTCTGTTCCAGGACCCAGGTAAAGGGGCTAGGGGGGGGTGGGGGTCCCCATGGGTGCCTGCTCAGGGCACGGCAGTGGGGGGTCCTGGCGAGAGCAGAGCCCCCAGCCCTGGGAGGAATGCCTCTGTCCCCATGGGCTCCCCATGCTGAGCTGCAGGATGTGGGACCGCTTGGCTGGGAACCAACTGCCTATAAGACTAGCAAGTGACTCCCCTGTTACAGGGATGGTTGCTGGTGGGTTTATTCTGGGGCTGGACTGTCCCAGCCTCTGGACGGTTGTGCAGGCTGCGCAGGGGGGTGTTTTGGGACAGGGTGAGGGGAGGTGGCCGGGCAGGGATGGGCAGCGGAGCCTGGGTCAGAGCAGGGATTTGGGGAACGGGTGCTGGGCTGCAGGGGATGGGATAGCAGCTTGTGCTGGCAGCCTGTGCAGGTACACTGGCGGATGCTGGGGCCGGGGGTCTGCGTGGCCCCTGAGCGGATGGGGCTCTGCCTGCGTGGCTGGACCCGCCTGTGCGGTTCGGGGTGGGCAGCGGTGGGGCTGTGCCAGGGATGCTCACCTCGCCTGATCCCTACCCCACCAGCCCGGGGCTGGAGCTGCCGTCTCCTGCCCCACCGTGGGGGGGGGACGTGGCCTTAAATTGGCACCCCAGCTGCGCCACACAGGCCTGTTTGCGCGCTGGAGGCCCCGTGGCAGTGACAGGTGCCGGCATCACGCCATCGATCAGTCACCGCTGAGCAGATACCGGGGCACAATGGGATGGTGCAAGGGACCGGTGGCCACGTGGGACCCCTGGCTCGGTGCCACCGGCCGGGTGGCAGGGGCACGGCTCCCGACTGGGTGACAGCAGCTCGCCCTTCTTCTGCAGGAGCTGCCCGCGTCCCACCGTGCCCCTTGGCAGGGTGTCGGGTCTGGGGAGCCCTTAGCTTCTGTTTTCTTTCCCGCAGGAGACTCGCCAGACCGGGAGCACCGCAGGGCACCCGCCTTCTGCCCGGAGAGTCCCCATGGAGCAGGGCGGTGGGGTGGGCAGCGTGCCTGGTGCTGGGAGGGCTGGTGGCATGGCCCCTCCTGAAGCAGAGGGCAACGCAGCCCCAGCAGCCCCTCAGGCTGCCCAGCCCCAAGGGGGGATGGTGCCGGCTGCCGCCGAGGCGCAGGACGGAAGGCAGGCAGAGCCTGGGAAGGAGAAGGCTGCAGGAGAGGCTGGAGGAGGGAAGGCAGAGCCGGTGGGGCAGGCGGCCCTGACTGTTCCAGAGCCCCAGGCTGGAGAGAAGGCAACGCCAGCAAAGGAGGCAGCTTCAGCTGCGCAGGACGATGGAGGGCAGGCAGCGGCCGTTGAGGAGAAGGTGCCGACTGCTGCCAAGGCCCAGGATGGAGGCAAGGATGGGAAGGAAAAAGCTCCAGCTGCAGGAGAGCTCAAAGGAGGGAAGCCCCCTGTGGAAGGGAAGGCTCCAGCTGTAGCAGAGGCTCAGGATGGAGGGAAGCACAAGCCCAGGAAGGAGCAAGCCCCTGGCGGGTTAGAGGCTGGGGTTGGTGGGAAAACAGAGCCCATGGAGAAGGCGGCTCCGGCTGCAGCGGAGGCTGAAGGAGGGAAGGCAAAACCCGCAAAGGAGACGGCCTTGGCTGCAGCAGCACAGGCTCAGAATGGACGCAAAGAAGAGCCTGCAAAGGATAAAACCATGGCTGCTGCAAAGGAAAAGCTCCCAGTGGCTCCAAAGGCTCAGGATGGAGAGAAGAAAGTTGCAAAGGCAGAGAAAACCCCAGCTGATAAAAAGCCTGCAAAGGAGAAGACTCCAGCTACTGTAAAAGCTCAGGTTGGAGAGGATAAAGTGGCAAAGGCAGAAAAAGCCCCAGCTGCAAAAAAAGCTCAAGATGGAGACAAAGAGGAGCCTGCGAAGGAGAAAGCTGCGGAGCCTGCGAAGGAGAAAGCTGCAGCTCCTGCAAAGCAGAAGGCCTCAGATGCTGCCAAGTCTCAGGATGGAGAGAAGGCAGCAGCAAAGGCAGAGAAAACCCCAGCTGCAAAAAAGGCTCAGGATGAAAGCAAAGAAAAGCCTGCGAAGGAGAAGGCTCCAGCTGCTGCAAAGGAGAAGGCTCCGGCTGCTGTAAAAGCTCAGGTTGGAGAGGATAAAGTGGCAAAGGCAGAAAAAGCCCCAGCTGCAGCAGAGGCTGGGGATGGAGGCAAGGAGCCCACAGAGGCAGCGGCCGTGGCTGCTGCGAAGGCTCAGGGTGAAGGGGAGAAAGCGGCAAAGGCGATGGATGAGCAGCAGCAACTGAGGGGCCCTGAGCCCCCGCGCCCAGTGCTGCTGCAGAGCCTGAGCTGCCCAGCCGCCTGCCAAAGGTACCTGCACCCTCCTGGGCTGGGGTCCCCTCCCCTCACTGCTCCCCGAGGAGCCTGGGGTCTCTCTGGGCAGAGGTGGGTGCCGGGCTCAGGGGGCTGCTGGCTGGGGTCTTCTCACCTCCTGCTCCTGCTTCCAGGGAGGAGCAGCCCTGGGCAGGGATGGCAGCGATGGAGATGATTCCAGAGGAGACCACAGCCGCGGAGCCGAGAGAGGGTCTGACGGAGCCTGGCCCTGCCCCGTCAGCCCCAGGGGACCAGAAGCCCCCAGAGCCCCCCGGCCCCGCAGGGAGCCCTGGCACCCCCCAGGAGAGGACATTGCCTGGTGCCACAGGGCAGCCCCCGGATCCCACCGGGGCCACGGAACAGCTTGGCCCTGGGGGGCAACTGTCCTCGACAGAAGCAGAGCCACCCCCCAGCCCCTACCTCACCCCCGATTTTGGGAAGGAAGACCCTTTTGAGATACTGGGTAAGGCGGTGAGGTGCTTGCCTTCTCCTCGCACCCCGGGACCCTCTGTGGGGCGGCAGCCCAGGGTCGCCCGTGGCTCTGCCCACTGCCTGCACTGCCCTCCCATGCTGCCGGCTCATGCTCTTGGCTTGTCACCTGCCCGGTGGCCTTCGAGCTCCTGTTTCACTATAAACAGGGCTAAATGTGTCAGGTCCCCTCCCCGGGCTGCTCCAGCCTGGCACAATCTCCGAGGCCGGGGCTGTCCGGGAGGAAGAGGAGCCCGGGGAGTGACAGCCACCGCCTGGCCGGTGGCGGGGGACAGCGTGTCCCCTCGTGTGTCTTGCACCGCTGTCCTTGCAGGGATGGCAGGGCTGGGGCTGGTCCCAGCTCGGGGGCGTGGGGCTCCCTGCGAGGGTGGCCCAGGACCGGGTGCGTGGGGTGCGTCCTGGGAGGGCGAGTGGGATGTGGTGGCCCAGAGAGGGTGACACGCAGCAGCGTGGCCTGGAGAGGGCGACCACGACACGCGGGATGGTGGGGAGCGGGCAGGCAGCAGGGTGGGTGCCACGCAGCAGGGTGATGCTGCGGGCAGTGGCGAGGGACCCGTCAGGGGATGCTGCGTCCCCGCGGTGCAGCTGGCAGCCGGCAGCCCCTGATTTGTAACCAGTCACGCGGTACCTGGCCGCATCCTGCACCCGCAAGGTTTGACTGGGCTGCGCTGCTGGGTGCCTGCCTGCACCTAGGTGCAATCCCAGCCTGGGGAGCAGCTCCCCTTCTCACCCCAACCCTCCCCTCTGGGCAGATGATGTCCCTCCGCCGCCGGCGCCCTTCACGCACCGTATCGTCACCCTGCGGTCCGGCGACATCAGCTCCCGGTTCAACCTCAGCTCCAAGGACATCCTGGGAGGGTAAGGAGGGGACCCAGGAGGGTCAAAGATGCCCAGCTTTCTTCTGGCACTGCCCCGAGCTGCCGTCCAGCCTTGGGTAATGGTCCTGGGTCAATGGGACTTCTCTGGCCATGATGGGTCAGTGCCTTGGGCAGGATGGGTGCAGAGGGGAGCGGTGGGCAGTACAGGGCAGCAATGTGGGGGTCCCCAGCAGCCTGGGTGGCTGATGGTGTTGGCGTCTCTCCCGCTCTCCTTCCCCAGGGGCAAGTTTGGCGAAGTCCACACGTGCACGGAGAAGCAGACAGGGCTCAAGCTGGCGGCCAAAGTGATCCGGAAACAGGGTGCCAAGGACAAGGTCTGACTGATGCTGGGGCGGGGGGGCTCCTCCTGGCCACAGTGCCACCAGCAAGTGGCATGGCCAAGGTGGTGGGTGGCAGTGTCATGCCCAGTGTGTCCCTGGTGCTCTGACACAGCCTGTCCCCATGCTGGTGGCTTGGTCAGGGCTGACACCCTGCACTGCCACGGGGCTTATTCTGCAGGAGATGGTGCTGCTGGAGATTGATGTGATGAACCAGCTGAACCACCGCAACCTCATCCAGCTCTATGATGCCATCGAGACGCCCCGGGAGATCATCCTCTTCATGGAGTTGTGAGTGTCGGGGCAGTGCCGCGTGGGGCCTGATGCCTGGGTGAGGGGCAGTGTTGCAGAGGATGCTCCAGACATGGAGCAGATGTGCCAGCCCCCTCCCCAAGGAGAAGCAGTTGGCCCCATGGAATGTCCCTCACCTCGCCTATTCCCTTTTGGGTACCTCCTCGTCTTGCACTGGCCTCGGAGGCAGTCTTGAGCTCTGCCTGGCTGAGACAGCATCTCTGTCCATCACGGCTGTGTTGAGATGACCCAAGTCCTTCCCACACAGCTCCTTTTCCCGCTGCTCGCTTGCTCCAGGGAGGCTGGGGCCGTGCTGGGGCAGTTCTGCTCTACAAACCCTAAGGGAGGTGGGGTGTCCTGGGGTGACCTGCCACCCCCATGCCTGCCTTGGGGAGGTGTGTTGAATCCCAGCATGCATCCATCCCACTGTGGTTCCGCTCAGCTTCTACACCAGCATCTCCATGGTGGGGCTGGGCCAGGGTCCCCAGGGTGGGCAGGGGGCTCTGCAGGAGGACGGCTTGAGGCAGGGAGCCCCAGGTGACCCTGCGGTCCGTCCCTACGCAGCGTGGAGGGCGGCGAGCTCTTTGAGCGGATCATCGATGATGACTACCACCTGACGGAGGTGGACTGCATGGTGTTCGTCCGGCAGATCTGTGAGGGCATCCGCTTCATGCACCACATGCGCGTCCTCCACCTCGACCTCAAGGTGCGGGGCCGGGGGTGATGGCAGGGGCTGGCCGCTGCTTGTGGGGATGGGGGACGCCAGGGTGCGGGGGGGCAGTGGGTGTTTGCAGGCACCGAAGTGGGGAGCGCTGTGTGTTGGCCCTGAGCCCTGCCGTGCCCGTGAGGGCAGTGTGTCCCCGACGCTGGCCAGCCATGGGAGGGATGCCTGCGAGTCAGTACTCTGGTGCAGGTCAGCCGCAGGACCCATGGGCTGCCAGACCCACACGCTGGGGATGTCCCCTCTCGGCAGTGGGACAATGGTCTCCCTGTCCCCACAGCCCGAGAACATCCTCTGTGTTGCTGCCACCGGGCATATGGTGAAGATCATCGACTTTGGGCTGGCTCGAAGGTGCCGTCTTCCCCCCCCTTGGCTCCATCCCTTCTCCCTGTCTCCCTCCCACCCTTTGGCCCCATGAGCCCTCGAGGTGCTGGGACACCTGGGACCTGCTCTGGGCCCTGGCTCTGGCCACGGCTGCCAGCCCCGGCTCTCCATGGCTGGCATGGGAGGGCTGGGGAGAGCAGTGCCTGCCGGGAGGGGGGCAGGGGTTTGGGGGAGCAGCCTGTCCCCCTCCTGCTGACTCACCTGCCCCGGCCGCAGGTACAACCCCCAGGAGAAGCTGAAGGTGAACTTTGGCACCCCCGAATTCCTCTCCCCCGAGGTGGTCAACTATGAGCAGGTCTCCTACTCCACGGACATGTGGAGCATGGGCGTCATCACCTACATGCTGTACGTCAGGGCTGGGGGGGGGGGGCTGCCAGCACCACGCCAGGACAGAGCTGCCCTGGGCATGGAGTCGTCCCCAAGCTGTACATGTGCCCCAGGCACCCGGCTGTTTTGTGGGCTGGTGGAGGGTGCTGGATGGGGAGATGGGCAGGTGGGGCTGGGGGACACCGAGCTGGGCTGGGGAGGGTCTGTGCCCACATCTGCAGGCACGGAAAGGCTCAGCCCAGCTGCAGGCAGGAGCATGACATGGTGCCAGCAGCCACACACCACCTCTCATATCGGGGCCACCCTGCCTCGCTCCCTGGGACAGCCCTGGCCAGATTGGCTCCGTTCTGGGGGGTTTGGGAGGTGCCACAGCCTGAGGGCACCTGGCTCCTCACCCCACTGTGCCCCCAGGCTCAGTGGCCTCTCCCCCTTCTTGGGTGACAATGACACCGAGACACTCAACAACGTCCTGGCTGCCAACTGGTACTTCGATGAGGAGACCTTCGAGAGCGTCTCCGATGAGGCCAAGGACTTCGTCTCAAACCTCATCATCAAGGAGAAGAGGTGCGAGGCTGGCAGCAGCCATGGGGGTCTGGGTGTGTGGGCATCCCCAGAGCTGCCTGCCCAGCACCTGGGTACAATGCGCTGGCCCTCTGCACCGGGACCAGCAGCATCCCCTGATGTCCTGTACCAAATGAGCCTGACGGGGCCCTGCCCTGTCCGCTGGCTGTCGCCAGCAGAGCCCCATGTCCCTCCAGGGTCACCCGCCCCAAGCAGGGCATGCTGGACCACTCGGGGTCCTGCCCAGCCCCACTGGTCCCTGGGCACATCCCTCCGGCTGGTTCCTCCCTGCAAGTTTCTGGGGTTTTGGGGCTCCTGGGTGGCTGGAGAAGGTGGTGGTTGGGGGAGAGGGGCTTGAGCAGGGGTGACCCAGGCTCCTCTCACCTCCAGCGGCCGGATGAGCGCCGGCCAGTGCCTGCAGCATCCCTGGCTCAACAACCTGGCAGAAAAGGCCAAGCGCTGCAACCGCCGGCTCAAGTCCCAGGTGCTGCTCAAGAAATACGTCATGCGGCGGCGCTGGAAGGTGCGGGGTGCCAGCACCGGGAAGAGGGTCAATGCTGTCTGGGGGAGCTGGTGGGGGGGGGCTGCCAGTCTCTGCCTGTTTTGGTGGATGGCATCTGGGACATGGAGGATGGCTTTGTCTCACCGTGCTGCTGGCAGCTGGGGCACAAGGGTTGGCAACCCCTGAGCCTGCAAGAGGGGCTCCCCAGCAGCAGGGTCTTTGCATGGGTACCCCCAAGCTGGGGTCCCCCTCAAGCATAGGTCCCGTCGTGGTGGTCTCCCTTGAGCTGATCCTAAGAGCACCTTTTAGGGGCAGGAGTGGTGTCAGGACAGAATGTAGGGAATGATCCCCAGCATCAGCCCTGTGCCTCCCCCTGCCTCGCGCTCCCCTCCCACACAGCCCAGCTGAACGGGTGCCGGGGCAGCTGCCCACTCCCCAGCCCGGCTCCTCACCAGCGGGGTCTGGCTCAGCCTCTGGAGCCGCAGCCCTCACGGTACGATGAGCATCTCTCCTATTCCCCCTTTATAGAAAAACTTCATCGGGGTGTGTGCAGCCAACCGCTTCAAGAAGATCACCAGCTCGGGGTCGCTGACAGCACTGGGCGTCTGAGCAGGGGCTCCCGGTGGGAGCCCGAGCCTCGTGTGAGCCGAGGCCAGAGAGGAACTGCTTGAGAGTCCCACGTCAGTCTTGCTTCTGGACGGCAGCAGGACCTCGCTGGGCTCCTCGCTTCACACCTTGGGGGCCAGAGGCTGGAGCCACGCAGCCCCCTCCCTGCCCGTGCTGCTGTCAGATGGCTGCTCTGGACCCCGCTGTGGCACGCCGCTGCACCCCTGCTCTGTGCCCCCCGCCACCACGGGTGCTGCTCTGCTGCGTCCCTTGGGGCTGCGCCCTGCCTTGGCACCCAGTGGCTGTGGGACTGCTCAGGGGGGCCGGGACCCCACTGGGCTCTGCACCCGCACCCGCCCCTGCGGAGTCACTCTGCCAAGCTTATCTCACCCTGTGCCGTGTTTCTGTGCTGGGGACCTGCTGCTGGGGATGCCGGCAGCACCCTCCTGGGCTCCAGCCCTCCCTGTTCCCATTGAGCCAATGTTCCCATGTGGATTTCCTCAGACTGCGAGGCCGCTCCTGAGTGCTGGTTTCCAATCTCATCCCTGGCCCAGCTGTGCGATGCGTGACCTGCAGCATCTCTGCTCCGCTCCTCCTTCCTTCTCATGGCCTTGGAGGAGAAATTCCGGCCCGGTGCGAGCGCCGCTGCCTGGGCCGCCCTGCGCGCTTGCCGCTACCTTGGACCCAAGACTTGCGCGCTCTGCCTGTAAATGCTGCAACCCTGCCCTGCCTTCGCTGTCGCTGGACCCTGAGCTGCCCGACCTCCCTTCCCAGCGCTGTGGCTTGGCGCGGGGATGCCGGAGGGCAGGCGTGGACCCTCACCCTGGCGCTTTGGCACCGGAGCAGGGGCCGAAGCGCCGCCTCCCTGGCCGGCTGGGCGTGCGGGAGCGGAGCTGGCCCCAAGCTGCTGCTCGCACAGGAAGGGAGGAAGCGGCGAGCACGCTTCCAGCAGTGTCCCCAGCTGGGAGCCAGCGAGGGAAGAAGGAGGCTTTGTGTTCCTCCTGCCCTCCCTGCCCTTCGGCTCTGCCAGCGGGGGAAAAACACAACCTCTGCTTCACCCGTCCCCGCCAGATCAAGATGAGCGAGGCGTCCTAATGCAGAGCAGCTGGACCGCGCTCCCCCGCTCCCGCGAGCATCGCTCCAGCCCCGACCACCAACACACAGGAACTGCTGGTCGGTGGCTGCGGCCGCCAGCTCCCCCCGCCACACGCGGGGGCTCCCCGGGACCGGCCGGACCATGGGAGGCGGGTGCTGCCCCCGCTTCTCTGCCTCGCCCCGACCCCCTTCCCCGCTGCCTGCGCCCCTCAGGGGTCCCCGATGCTGCCGGAGGATGGGCAGCCCCTGGGCTTTGCAGCTTCCAGCCTTGCCCGCTGCAGGAGGGGATGGGGGGCTGGTGGGGGGTCCCGGGCTCCCCCTGCTCTCCAGCTTTGGCTTTCGCTGTGGCCGAGCCCCCCCGAGCCAGGGCTGTGTGCTTGCTCTGGGGCCGTCTGTACCCTCTGCGCCTGCTGGAAAAACCCTGGGGAGAGATGGGGGCAGGCACCGGCCCCCCAGCCCCACTGGCTGCAGCAGGTGAAGGGGCTTCAGGTTTGTCCCCACCAGGCAGGGGCCATGGCTCACAGCGCCCAGCCTAATGTCCGAGTCCTGCCTGGCTCTCGCCTTCTTGTAAATAAATGTACAGGTCTGCCCGCAGCCTGCGCCTGGCCTGCTCCCCCCGGCCCCCTCCCTCGGCCGCTGTTCCCGCCTGTGTGCGCCATGCAGCCGCAGTCTGAGGGCTGCAGATAAGCGAGGAGGGGATGGGAAGCAGCGTCTCATCCTCAGGGTAGAGGGGACAGAGAGGGGCCCTGGCTGTGCCGGGGATGGGGACCGCCTGGTGCATCCCAGGTAGGGCTCCGGAGCCCACAGTGCCAAGGGGTTCTGGTCTCTGCACCCTGTGGCCGTGCAGCAGCAACCGGCTCTGAGCACCCCAGGATGCTGGGGGAAAGGAGGAAGGGATGGAGGGATGGATGGATGGTCACAGACTGTCCTCACGGCTTCAGCATCTGCCCGAGTGGGGTGGGATGCCCAGACAAGGGCTGGTGGGTGGTTGGTGCCCCTCTGCCCAGTGGGGCTGCAGCTGGCCCCGAAGCGGTTAAGGCTGCCCGGGCTGGACGCCGGCTCCCGCCGCGGGCGTCCCTCCCAGCCGCTTCCTGCCGGCAGCCTTTGACCAGTTCCTGTCAGTGACCACCCTGCGGGCCTGGAAGCCAGCGCAGCCCCATCTGGTTTGAGTTACGCTCCGTGGCGGTGACGTCTCCTTCCTGTCTGGCCCCAGGAGCCGCGCGTTGCCCTGGCCCCGGCGGGCCACGGGGGGCTGCAGGGCCCCGCCATGGGGTGGCCCACAGGGCTCCCGGCCGGACCGTTGCTCCCGGACTCTCCTCCAGAGAGCCGCTCCAGAGGGTCGGTTCCTGGACGCGGCCCCGCGTGCGCACAGCTGCGGCATGGGGACGTGCGGGCATCGGCATGTCCTGGTGCCCCAAGCCCAGGATGGGGGACCCCCACCCCACAGCCCAGTTTGGCTTCTCCAGCCCCCTCCTCTCCTGCCCTGGGACCCCACGGGGACACCCATGGCACCTCCATCAGGACCAGCACCGGTGGGAGCAGCTGTGGCCCCATCCTGCGCTCCCGGCCGAGGGGCAGAACAGGGCTCGGGAGCCCCCCAAGCCCTGGGGAGGGGATCGGTCCTGCCGGGGCCGGTGACAGGACTGGTCCTGGTCCAGCACAGGCCATGGCAGCCAGCACCATCCCTCCTGAAGGGGATCCTCGTCAGCCCCACGGACGCACGGCACGGTCTGGGCTGGGTGCATGTGTGTCTACAGCATCCGTCCCTGGAGCACTTACGCAGAGCAGCACCCTTTCCCCATCCTTACCTGCACCCCATCCCTGTGGCGCCCATCCTGCCTGCACAAACAAGGGCAGGAAGGGGAGTGGGCAGACCTCCTGCACCGGCACCCGGCAGCACCGCCGGCAGCGGCAGCAGGTTTGCCCCGTGACCGGGTGCAGCCCAGTTCCTGGCCATGGCACGGCCCATGCCGGGCGCGGGTGAGCGGGCTGGGGGCCAGGCCACCCACCGCGAGCTGGGAGCGAGCCGGGGAGGAGGCAGGGCAGGGAAAGCAGCGGGCCCACGGCCGGGAGCGGGGGCGGGCACGGAGAAGGGGAGAACACTGGGAGAGTGGATGGCCGTGGTCTGCATGCCCGGGGAGGCGCAGGCAGCCGGGCTTTGCGGGAGGGGGGTCCCCATCCCCGGGGGGCTGCAGCTTGGATGGTGGGCAACGGCACGCGCCACGCGATGACGTGCCGCTCCCAGCACGGGGACGCCAGCCCGGGACACCGCGTGGGGGCCGGGGCCATGCATTCCCAGGCGGTGGCGGCAAGAGCCGGGGTGGGCGATGGGCCCGGCCACGCTGCGTGGGAACCAGACGGCCCCTGGGCACGGCTGCGGCGCTCGCTTCCTCCTGCGCCCCCGGGGACCGTGCGAAGGAGGGGGCTGAGGTCAGCCGCGCTCGCCGCCGGCCGCTCCGGAGACGCCAGCATGATGTAGACGCTCAAATATTGTTTTCCACTGGGGAGGGGAAAAAAAAAAAAACACCCAGGGAGAAAAAAGAGGCCCAGGGCTGAGCGGCCATCCCTGATGACGAAGGGCAGTTCCCCCGCTGCCCTGCCCCGGACTGGGACACAGCCATGGCCCAGCAGCAGCCATCTGGGGGCTCATAATGGGGCTGACGTGGCCACGTTGCTCTCTGTCCCCGAGTGACGCCAGCTCTGCCTCTCGGTGCCAGCACGGCCCCTGCAGAGACCCCGGGACTGGCCGAGCTGGGGTCCCGCTGGTCTTGGGGGCTGGGGGGCTCTGCCACAAACCTGCTCCCCAACAGCGGTTTGGAGACCCCCCACCAGCCTGGCATCTTCCCACTGTGCCCACCCTGGGGCTAGCTGTGCTGTGGGGTCCGGGCATTACTGCTCCTGGGGTCCCCCCTGTCCCAGCCCGGGGTGGGCAGGTTGGGGACATGGGCACAGGCACAGCCCCCTGCTTTGCCAGCATCACTCTGGCCCCGCTCCAGCACTGCAGGCATGCTGGCCTGGCTGTCCCAGCGTGCCTGGGAAGGGGCTGGCGGCCAGGCCCCAGCCTGGGGCTGTGTGGGGACCCCCGCCTGCTCCGGTGTCCCCCAGCCCAGCCGGCCGGGGCAAGCCCCCCATGCCCAGCCCCGTGCCAGCAGCGGTGACTCAGCCGGTGCCTCCTTACGGGCAGCCGCCCGGCGTGATTCAGTTCGGAGGAATCTGCTTTCCTAGACCGTTCCCATCACAGCCGCAGCCCCTGGCACAGCCCGGCTCCGAGGGGTGCCCTGGCTTCAGGGTGTCTGCAGAGCCCTGGTGGGAGCCCGGCCAGGCATTGGCACAGCCCTGAGCAGGGACAGAGAGGGGAGGGAGCCCTGTCCCCCCCAAAGCCGAGCACCCACACACTCTGCCACCTCCCCCCCGACGTCTCCCTGGGGCCACGCGTGTGCGTGAGCGGGGCCACGCGTTGAGGCTGGCGCTGGTTGTGCCATGTGTGGCACCCGGGGCGAAGCCAGGCATTTTGAGCGGTCCCAGGCGCAGGGAGGCAGCAGCAGGGCTCCGCGGGGGCTTGCTCCTGCCGCAGCACATCCCCCTGCCCTTCATGGACAAGATTCCTTCCTGCTGCCCCGGGATGGGGCTTTGGGGCTCCTGGCCCCGCGTTGCAGCAGGATCTTGTCCCCAGCATCTCCCAGGGACGCAGGACCTGGACGCGGGTGCCCTGACCCTGGCCATGTCCCGTCCCCCCGTAACCTCACCGTTCAGCCGGTGATCACCGATGGAGGGGCCGACGGGGATGGGGGCTGCGCCGGGTGGCCTCGGGGACGCATGTCCCCCAGCCAGCACCGGGGCTGGGGCAGAGGGCCCCCAGCTCACCCCTGCCCACCCCGAGCAGGGCGCAGAGACCACAGAGGCAGCGT